CAATAAAGGCTAAGGAAACAACAAAAGGAAAAACACCATCGAGCTTTCGTAAAACTGTTTAAAAAAGCTTCACTTTGTAAACGAAACTCTTGAAAGTAAATTTGAGTGTGATTAACATTACATGCCTACGAAAAATGAAGATTAAGTCAGGTTGTACGAAGTATTAGTTTTTGCTTTGTTTTATGTAACCAAAATGCTTCTTTCACATAAATATCTTCGAGATGCGAGAGTTAACTACGATTCATTTTGTACAAAGAGTTCTTTAATTTCATTTTATTCAAGAGTGTGGCATCCATTTAACAGAACCTGAATAAAATCAACCGGGATGATAGCGAGTTCAACCATTACTGAAAGAGCTCTTTAGGTGGTTGTGGGATGAGAATTCCTTGAATGCTTCCCTTTCTCGCTACGAGCTTATTCTTTGGCCAGTCAAACTCGCATAGAGCACAATTCGATCGAGAGTACTGAGATCAAAAGAAAAATTATCTCAGTAACAATTAGAACAAAGGAAAATTGCATAAAGGGCAAAAAAGAACTTAGGTAGAACAAGTAACCTGCTATATCTATTTCGCGGCCGTCCTTTGAGATGTCACGCAACGTACTTTACTGAAGTCTCTTTTGGGTTGAGTATTGCGTGACATACCAAAGAATAGTATGGAAGGACTCGTGGCAACAGGAAAATATGGGTGCCTGAGTCACGATTGGTTTCAGTTCAGAATCTAATTAAGTTGGTTGAGAGGAAAGTGCGACGTTTGTTTTACTGTCACTAGCAAACTTGAGCAAAAGCAACGAATTCTGAGACATTAGACTTTGTAACATTCAAGAAAGAAATTTTTCTGTTCAGTTTTCCAGCCATGTTTCTTTCTCTAGGGATAGGATGAGAAAAATGGTTAAACAGATGAGGCCTTCTCAAGGTTAAAATAGTGTCTGTGTACATAACATTGATAGCTAAGAACATATTCCGTGCCACTTTATTTGGCCATTGTCATCAGTTGTGGTTTTTATGCGACGATGATGGACGTTAACTCTGATAGCTTCTGATGGGGAAAGATGAGTGGTGAGAATTACGTCAGATTGCTAACAAGTTGCATTCAGGGTTTTCATGTTAAAAACAGTCATTGAGAACAAACTATGCTGCCGCAAATCAAAGAAAAAAAAAGGGAAAACGGGTTTGATCAAGGGAGAGGCAGCAGATCAAAATTAAAAAAAAAGGAGCGCAAACATGTGAGAAAACAACGGATCCAACGAAAACAGCTCGATTCAAGGGGAAAATGCAAAAGTTGACGGATAAAAGTTAAGCCGGGGGATAAAGGTATTAAAAATACCGAAGTCCGCCTTCCAAGTTGTGTCGCAATTGCTCCCACGTGGATTTCTCAATCAGTAGCTTCTCTTTTACAGTTCTGTGTATCTGCAACCAGACGTGCGCTCCGAACTCAGAAAACCCCAACATTTCTTGAGCTTGGTAAAGGTCTCACTAAGCCCTGGTAGGAAATATTGCATGACTATGTCACTTACTATTGTCTTCTCCATAACATATTTAAGCAATTAACACTTTTTTCTTGGTTTTATTTCATGGGCAAGTTTATGACAGTAACGCTTTATTTTTCTCACAACTTTGTGAATCAAGCGGTACTTTTGTAATCATAAATTGATTTCAAACATGTAAAGTTGATCAGTAAATTTCTCAATTTTATGCCTTATCCATTCACACTAATATCATTATCGAAAATCTAAAGGGTAATCCGTAGTTTGATTGTAGATCCGTTAGCTTTCCGTTCCATCCTATGAAATAGATTACACACATCATAGAATTTATTGTAACAATTACCTACTGTTGAACTCGAAAAGATATCATTCACTTTATCATTCTAGAATGCGTTTCGACTGAACCTCTTTCTGATTGTACCTTTTATGGTAATTATTTTAAACACTGAGG